GCCGAGCTTTGGAGCCCTGGGCTCCACACTCTGTGTGGTCGCTGCACAGCTCTGTGATGCCATCCCCACCCCGACTGGGAGATGCTCGATGTGTCTCCTTCATCAGTGTCCTCAGTGCCCAGCGCAGGGTGTGGCACAAAACAGATGTCTGGTGAAGATTTGTTGATCTGATGGCTCATCCTCATTCTCTGTCACTCCCACTACTGCTCCACGTCCAGCTTCCACAGCTGGACCGCATGTGAGGCCTGGGAAGTGCGTCACCTACCGATGCAGCAGGATGCAGGGAAAGGAAGCCTGGGCTGGGATTTAGAGATTAGGGTTCTGGGACCCTGGCTCACTGTGTGGCCTTGGGTTAGACCTCACCCTCCTCTGTGCCTCGGGCTCCCTCGCGGTCCTGGAAGGGTCTCCGGCTGAGCTCTTCCGCAGCCTGGCTGCTCTAGGCTTTGTACTGTTGGTTGAACCTCTGCTGGCGGACACAGCAACAGGTGGCCAGCATGGTGAGGACAATGGCAGAGACGAGCGTGAAGGTGAGGATGATGATGAGGTTGACATTCTTGAGCCCCCCCTCCTCACAGTCCTCAGGGCGCACGTGGCTCAGGAACACCTCCTCCTGGGAGTCGAAGCGGCAGATCAGGTCCTGGGTGGCATCCATGTCCACACGGCCCTGGTGCAGCTGGGCCGCCAGCCAGCCATTGCCGCAGCAGCTGAGCGGATTCCCCTGCAGGTAGAGGCGCCGCAGGCTGGTCTCCAGGCCGCCCATGGCACTGCTGGGCAGCAGGCTGAAGCTGTTGTTCCTCAGGTCCAGCATCTCCAGAGACACGGCCTGCGTCCAGGCCGGCAGGCGGCTCAGGCGGTTCTCGGCGAGATTGAGCTGCTTGAGGCAGCTGAAGTAGGGCAAGTCTACCTGCAGGACCTCCAGCCCATTGCCCTGCAGGGCCAGGACCTCCAAGGAGGCCTCCAGGCCCACCAAGGCCCCCGTGGCCACATCCAGCCCCGGATTGGAAGAGAGGTCCAGCTCCGTTAGTGGTGTGTGGAGGAAGGCACCTGCCCAGAGCGTCTCCAACTCGTTGTCCACCAAGTTTAGGCTGCGGAGGGAGGAGATGCCAGAGAAGTCCACGCAGCCGGAGGGTCCAGGCCCCCCTGACCCCCCACAGGGAATGACCCGGTTCCCCTGCAGGTTGAGCCTCTGCAAGCTAGCCAGGCCAGCAAAGGTGTGTGGGGGCAGGTCCTGCAGGGCATTGTGCTGTAGGAGCAGCGTCCGCAGAGACCCCAGGGCGCGGGTGCCCAGCTCCAGTGTCTTCAGCGCATTGTGGCTCATGTCCAGGAGCACCAGGCAGGGCAGGGAGCCCGCACTCCGAGCCTCAAAGGCCTTCAAGCAGTTTCGGCTGAGGTTCAGGAAGCGCAGGGAGGTCAGGTGCCCCAGAAAGCCCTCGGGGACCAGCTCAATCTCATTGTAGCTCAAATCCAGATTCAAGAGCTGGGAGAAGGGGTGGGTGCTGGCATTCCGGCTGGGGTTCGAGAGGGGCGAGGCTGACCAGCCCTCAGAGGGCGCATAGATGGCCTCGCCACCCTGGGGCGGCCCCGCAGGGAGACTGATGAGGTTGCTGGACACGTTCAGGTAGATGAGTCTCGGGAGTGCGGCCAAGTCAGGGAAGTGGAGCAGTTTGTTCTCCCGCAGGTCGAGCCAGGTGAGCTGGTACCCGGCCTGGGACTCGGGAGCCATCTGAAAGGCCTCGATGCTGTTGCAGCTCAGGTCCAGCACCCGCAGCTGCTGGAGGCTGAAGTCGGAGATGCAGGTGAGGGAGTTTCTGGACAGGTTAAGGTGGGTCAGGTGGGGCATGGCCTCGAAAGCCCCATCCTCTATGTCCATCAGCACGTTGCTGTGTAGGTCCAGCCGCTCGAGCGCAGGTGTGCCCCAGAAGGTCTGGCGGGCCAGGCGGGTCAGGCTGTTCTCCGCCAGTGCGAGGGTGCGCAGGGCTGGCGCCTCCCCCAGCAGCTGCTCCACCAGGCCGCTGTACAGGCTGTTCCCAGACAGGTCCAGAGACTTCACGTGCAGCAGGGGGCCCAGACCCCCAGTGCTCAGCGCCAGGCGGTTGTGGGCCAGGTTGAGGTGCTCCAGGTGGGACAGGGCCTCGAAGACACCTGGCTGGACGAAGCTGATCTCGTTGGAGCTCAGGTCCAGGTGACGAAGCGCTGTGTAGAGGCCCAGGGGCGAGGCCAGGATGCTCTGAAGCTGGTTTCCAGATAGGTCAAGGGCTTCGATGTCCCGCGGGAGCACCGAGGGGACCTGCACCAGGCCAAGGAATTGGCAGAAGACCTCCTTGTTCACCTGGGGACGGGGAGGCAGAGAGAGCAGCAGGCATTAATGGGTGCAGTAGGAGCTGGAATTGGACACGTGCCTCTAGGAAGGGTGACCTTGAGCTCCCGCCAGGCTTGGCTGGCTTCTCCCCTGGCCTCCCAGGATGCTCGACATTCCTCCATCCCAGCCTAATCACCCCATGTCCGGATGACCCCCATCCTGCTCCTTGCCCCTATCTCCGGCACCCAGTGCAGCACTGGCATCGGGAGGGACTCAAGGAAGCTTTGATGGGTAGACAGAGAGATGATAGAAAGTTAGAAGGACAAATGACCAAAAACCCTGTACAGTGGGGCCTTGACTTACGAGTGTCCCGACTAACGAGTTTTTTGAGATACCAGCTGTCTCTCTGCCGATTTTTTGCATTGAGTTGATAGAGTAATTTGAGTTAACGAGCTCCTTAACGAGCTCCTTAATGAGCTCAGTCTTGGTACTAATCATTAACCCATTTTACAGGAAACTGAGCCACAGAGCAAGCATGCCAAACTCTCTGCAGCCCAGCCGCTGGCAGGCTGCAAGCTTTGTTTAAGTAAATGAGGCATGCGGCCCGGCAGCCACTTGACATGCTTGATCTAGAGCAGCAGTTCTCAACCTTGGCTGCACATTAGAATCACCTGGGAATCTTTTTAAAATCCTGATTTCTGGGCCTCATTCTCTGGAAATTCTGTTTCTTTGTTACTATTTCCAGAGAATGAGGCCCAGAAATCAGGATTTTAAAAAGATTCCAGGTGATTCTAATGTGCAGCCAAGATTGAGAACCACTGATCTAGAGTGGCCCAGGGCCATGAGGAACAGAGCCGAGCTGGGACCCAGGCCTCCTGGTTCCACACCCTGGCTTCCTTCTATGGGCCCAGGTAGTTACGTTGACCCAGTTGGTGTAAGACTAGATGAACCCACTTTGGGGGAGTTGTTTCCAAAAGGAAAAAATGCAGTTTTCCCTCTTGTCATCAGTTTTTAGCTTCCTGTCCTCAGATCTCATTCAAGCCCTCATCCTGGGTCCCAAAGCCTGCTTCCTCGGTAACACTCCCCAGGAGGGCCCTTTCTGCTGCTGCCACCCACCCCCGCCCCTGTCAGTGGCTGTGCTTCCCAAGGCCCGGTCCTGATCTGGTCCTGGAGATGGGGTGAGCGTAAGGGGCAGGGGAAACGACGTCCAGGGTCCCAGCCCACGCTCTCTGATGACAACACTCTGATTTTGTGGCGCGTGCCCCATCAAGTCACAGGCCCACTCTGGTTTCTTATCCAGAAAGTAACTCATCCTTCCCTCTCACCCACTCAGCATTTTAGATTTTTTGGCATTTTCAGACCCATGGTCTCACTGGGTCTTCACAATAGCCGGCCTGTCAATATGGTCGCCCCCATTTAAGAAAAGAAAGCCCAGAGAGGTAAGGAAGGGTTCAGATCACCCAGCTGCTGAGGAACAGAGCTGGGTTTTCAACCCAGATATTTTAACAACTAAAGGCCCCACTTTTGTCCTTCTATCTCATGTGCTTTCTGAGGCCAGAATTCTTTCCATGTAAGTGCAGCCTTCCTCTCGTCTTTTCTAGCATACCAGGAGCCCTGGCCTTTCTCAGCTGGTCTGACTTCTACCAGCTCAGGCTCACTCCTGCCCCAGCTTCTGTCTCCACTGACCCTTCTGATCCACCCACCAACCAGATGCCTGGCAATTGCTCTCAAATTCCACTCAGAGAGTGCTGCCTTCTGTTGAAACCCCTCCAGGGCAAACTCCAGGGCTCTCAGCAGGTTCAGGGCTGTTTGTGGCCCCTGAGGAGCTGTCCCCTCTCCTCCCAACCAACTCCAGCCCAGCCCACAGGGATCATATCTGACCACTGATCATTAACCCTCCCAGCCCCAGCTCTGGGTCTCCTCCTTACTGTTCCCTGTGCTGGTTATGTCCTTCCCAACAAAATCTGCACGGGGAACTCTGCATGCTAAGTCCAGGATCTCCTCTGCCAGGAAGCCTTCCCTGATTCCTGGCCAGGTTGGGGCCTCCTTTGGGTTTTCTTACAGCCTCTGTGCTTCCTGTCATAGCTTTGGCCCCTGAATTGTGGCTGTCTGTGTGGGGACCTGCTAGACAGTGAGCTCAGAGCAAACGGACCGTTTTGATTGATGTGGAGGCCTTGGACCTGGCCCACAGAAGGTGCTCACTAAATCTTTTTAATGAATGAAAGAGTCCTAGACATCATTGGTTTGGTAAAGGTCTGAGGGATTGAGTCAACACCTTTCTAAAAAGAAAGTAAAGGGATGATCCATATATTCAGACTAAAGTCAAAGACTGTTAGAGCAAAAAGGGTCCAGCCCACCCAATTCCAAGATGGGGAGACTGAGCTTGAAGATGGCAGTGCCCTGCACGAGGTCGTGGTGAGTCAGTAGCTAAGCCAGCAGGGCCTGGTGATGGGGTGAGGGTAAGGGGGCTCCCTGCCTGGCCCCAGCTGTCAGCTTCCTCTCAAGATCCCCAAGGTGAGGAGGGGGAGGAATGGACTGTCCTCCAACAGGCACCTGTGTGCCTCTTCCTACTCTATGCAGCACAGCCCAGGGATGCCCCTGAGGTTGGGCATCATGTGAACCAGAAACCTATCCTGGCCACCTGGCCAGTCTTGCCTGGCTCCTTGCCCCTTTCTCCCTCCCAACCTCTCGGCCAGCTGGGGCCACCAGGCATGGTCCCTCATCCTGTCCTCAGCTCCTGGACCATCCTTATTTAAGCAGTCACAGCAAAAAGAACATTAACACAGTGACTGCCACTAACCATGGAGCGCCAGCTGTGTGCCAGGCTTGTGCTGAATGCATAGATCCCTTGCCTCATTCAATCTTCGAAGGCATATTTACCTCATTGTACCCTCTAAGGAAGCTGAGCCTCGGAGGAGGGAGGTGGCTTCCCCAAATCATATAGTCAGAGGCTCAAAAGTACCATTAGGAGTTCCTTTTCCTACTGCCAGCCAAGTTTGACCACTGCGCCCTCAGCTTGTTGAGTACCCAGGTTGAGTCCTTCAGCAGAGTAAGTAACAGCAGTTACCACTTCCTGAGCATTTACCCTGTGGGGGGCACTGTGCTATGCATCACATGTTCTCCTGCAGGCAAGCCCATACCCCATTTCACTCCTGAATTCTCAAAGGCTCCCTGGGCCACCAGCCCCTGAGAGCTGAGTCAGGACACAGGCTGGCCAAGCCCAGAGCCTAAGACTTGCTTTCTGCCCGGGTGCCCAGGACCCCTGCCAGGGACCCAGAGGAGGCGGCTGCAGGCAGTGCTGCACCACCACGGGCTCTGCAGTTCAGTCGAAGGAGCTTGAAGTGCAGCTCGCAGCATTCACTTCCAGCGCACCCCCCACGGCCCGAGCTCCGAGCCCCCAGCACCCCTGCCTTACTTGGGGAAGGGTCTTGGAGGAGTCAGCCCTTAGCAACACTCTGCCCACTCCCTCTGGGATGCCAGGCTGCCACTGCCCAAGTTTTTTTGTTTGTTTGTTTTCTGTTTGTTTTTTAGGAGGGAAGAGGACTTGCCGCCCAACTCCATTTTGCCACCTGCACAGAGCAGCGAAGCAGGGCAGTAAATCACTCGCAGTGGGCAGCATAAGCCCTGGGAGCTGGGTTCGAATACCGCTCTATTACTTCCGATCTGCATAATCCTGGTGGCCACAGTTCTTCTCTCGGCCTCAGTTTCCTGCTGAAAAAGGAATCTGGGCAGGAGAAAGGGAGAGAAAGTCCTCAGCATGCAGCAGGCGCCTTGCGAGCCCTCGGCATGTGAAAAAAATTTTTTAAATTTTTTTATTATCTTAAAAATCATCATGACTCCTTCTATGGCAGTCCAGAAGGCACCTTCCTGCCTATTATCTCATCTCTCCCCAATCCAAAGCTCACCCAGTTCCCCGTCCTGCTGGGTGGCCCAGGGCCTTCCCTTCTCTGAGCTGTCTCCCCAGGCAGAATGTGGGGCTGCGTTTGGTGACATCTGAGGCCTCTCTGCCTATGATTCTGGGTTCTGGGAACTCAGAAGGGCTCTAAAGAGCAAGAAGTAAGGTGACCACAGCAGGACACTGCAACGCCAGGGGAGGGCCCCAGGCCTGGCTGCCAGCACCTGCAGCCTCCAGAAGCCGGTGGCCATTCTGTGTCATAAGCTTCCAGTCCCAGGTCCAAGTGGGGCTGCCACAGGGCCTGTCCCTTCCCCCAGGGCAAGCTTCTGCCTTGAGCTCAGTGACTGCCCAGCTTCATAAGTGGACCTGGGTGGTCTCTTTCCCTGCACCCCACAGGGCGGCAATATGTCAGGGCTAGTCTCCTGGCAAAGGGCAGGACAAAGGAACAGAGTGAATCAAGCCCGGTCCCTGCCCTCGGGAACTTTGGTCTGGTGGTGAGGCAGGCTTGGGCCCACTTGCGAACTATACCACGTGCTCAATATTGAGAAGGAGGGAAGCTTGGGGCTGGGGAAGACCAGCAAAGGGAGCAACAGAACCAGGTCAGCCTGGGAGGAATCAGAAGAGGCTTCCTGAAGGAGGCAGCATTTGACCTGGGCAGTGATGAGTGAGGCTTCCCAGCAGGGCTGCGGCAGATGGGCCCAAGTCAAGGAGCCCAGGGACCCAAAACAGAAGAGCCCTTCCCAGCTGACTGACCCCAAATTCTGTATCACCTTGTGGGGGCAGAGGGAATAGAGTCCAATATTGGCCCCAGTGGTCCCAGTTGAATGACCTTGGACAAGTCACTTAACCTCTCCAAGCCTCAGCTTCCAATTCTGTAAAATGGGAATATGGTACTCACCTGGCAGGATTAATAGTAAATAAGGTATTTAAACATTTTAGCAGGTGCTAATCAAATGCAAGGTTTAAATGCATTCCTTTTCCTTTTCTGACTCCTCTAACTTTGGCTTCTGGGGCTGGGAAGACAGAATACCCTAGGGCTGGGTGGGGGTGGGGGTGGGGGAGCTTACCCTGCCTGGGCAGGGCTTCTTACCATCTTACAGGGAACCTTGTCTCCCTGTTGGGAGGTAGCCAGGCCCAGGGTCAGCACGGCCAGGAGCAGCAGGATCCGGTGGCTCATGGCTCTGCATAGGGCAGGGAGGAAAGGGGACATTGTAAAACTTCAGGCTCCTTCCCACGGCCAGCCCACACCCTCCCACCCTGCCCTCAGACCACAGCCGTATCTGAAATGAAGGTGTAGCCCCTCACAGAGGGCCTCCAGTGCTACGCCAAGGAGCTAGGCCATGCCCCCAGAAAGAGTTTTTAAACAGTGGGCAACATGGTCTGATTTGGGTTTCAAAAGTCTCCAACTGGTGGAGAACAATCTGGAGGAGGTGAGCAGGAGGCAGAGGGACCCTAAGGGCTGCCCTGGGCCAACCTCAGGGCTGGGATGAGGTGAGGTGGGCAGCTGGGCCTCTGACTCCCTTTCTACTCAAGCCACAAGCAGCTCACCCCTTCGTAACTCCTCAGACCCTAAACGGAATTACACACACACACACACACACACACACACACACACACACACACGCCTTTATTTTGCCCTTTTTCTTTTGATTTTCTGATTCTTGAGCCCCTGCCATTGTTTGATGGCTGGGCCTGGAGCCCTGACAGGAAGCCCCACCGGAGGCTTGCCCTGGCCCGGCATTGTGGCTGTGAACTTCCCCAGGAGCAGGCTGCCAGGCCCTTTACTTTCACTGAAGCCACCACCCGTGCCAGGGCAGGGGGACACGCGGGCCTGTTGGACCTGCCCTTCCCTTTATGAGCACCAGGGTGACCTCAGCAGGGTGGAATCTCAGTGCTACTCGGAGCTCACTCACTGAAGACCTGGGTCAGGGGCTAGGAATACACAGCTCAATCTATCAATTTCATTCATTCATTCACACTTTTATTGAATGCCTCCTCACATCTACCTCTGTGCTGGAAACTAGGAACACAAATAAACGCACAGAAGTGACCATAATACATACAGAGCATTAAGAAGGAGGGACCCTCCAAGAGCACTGGACTCAGAGTCACCCATATCCAACTGTTCCCTCTGATTCCCCAACTAACCTGCTGTGTGACCGTGTGCAAATCATTTCACCTCTCTGAGTCTCAGTTTCCTTTTCTGGGGTTAATGCTGACTTCACCAAGTTTTCTTAAAGATCAAATGACGTATGTTCTACTTAGGGAGCCCTTATTATGTACCAGGCACGCTTCTCCACACTTCACATGTATTAACTCATTTAATCCTCACAATAATTCAATGACTTGGCTCCATGATTAGCGTTCCCATTTTACAGACAGGAAAACTGAGGCCCAGAGAGATTAAGTAACACATTCAAGGTCTCACAGATAACAAGTCTGGCTCCTAGTCTGTGCTCTTAACCTCTACACTATATGGTCTCCAAAAGGGCTCAATAAATGGGTGCTGAGTTGTGACTCTGAGGGTGCTTTAGGAGAAGACGCATTTATAGGACCTTTGCAGGCTGGGTCTTTACTATTCGACCCAGTTATCGTCCTTACAACGAATTTTAAATGAAGGTGGATGCTCTGAGTTCCTTTATTGTTCAAGTGTGGTCTTTCAAAACCTGTTCCCTGGGTTCCCCTAGGCCATGGGCCTCTGCCCCCACAAAGGCTCGCTCTTCTCACCTGCATTATGGGTCAGGCTTTTACAGGAAATTTTGTTCTGCTGTTTAAAAAGCAGAACATCACCACCCATCCGAAAGCTGGTATACGCAGAATTGAGTGGAAACCCCTCAGGGGGCCTTTGAGGCCCTTGGGGAGTATGCCTTGCGGCCAGATCTTCTCTCCAACTTCATTTCTCACTGCCCCCTCTCCCACTCTGGGTTCTGGAAGCCTCCTATTGCCTTCAGGTCTCAGAGCCCCTTTCACTGCTCCAAACCTTCACTCCCTCCCCTCTCTGTGCTGAATACCTCCTCATCCTTTGGGTCTCAGCTAAGATGTCACCTCCTCCAAGGAGCCTGCTCTGGTTTCCCAAGTCTGGGCTATGTGCTTGGCTCTTCCTCCAGGTTCCCACAGCCCCTGAGCTTCCAGTGAGCACAGCACCAAGCACTCTATGATTACTCCCTCCCACATATTCCTAAGGGAAGTGCCCCTAGGGCAGAGGGGCTCACTGGACAGGCCAGGGAAGGCACTGAGAATTGACAGGAGGAGTCTCAGTGACATGGTGACACTGGCCAGAGCAGTTGCTCTCCTTGACTCTCCCTTCACCTCCCTGCCACACTCCTTCTCCCTGTCAGTGGGCTCTGCCTGTTCTCTCTGAAGAAACCCCCAGAGCTGCCCACCTCCCTCCTCCATCATTGCCACAAACAGAGTCACCACCATGACCCTGGGCCTCCACCACAGCAACACCTAACTTCCACCCTGACCCCTTTCAGTCTGGCCTACACATAGCTGCCAGAGAGGTGTCGTTAAATCATAGACCAGATCATGAATCTCATTGCCTAAAAACCTCCAGTATAATCCAGGCTTTATACCTCTCCTCTCTGACTCCATCTACCATTTGCCCTTCCTTCACCAGATTCTAGTGTTTGCCATTCTTCTCACCAGTCCTCAACCACCACACGTGCATTCCTACCTCAGGGCCTTTGCCTGCTGCTCCCTCCACCTGGAATGCTCTTCCCCACACCCTCACATGGTTTATTGTTTTCATCACATTGAAGATTTCCTGATCATTAATTTTTTATTCTATGGGGACAGGAGTCTATCAAGTGGTGCTCACCAACGATCTATTGAACAAATGGCGGGGCGAGGGGTAGAAGCTCTACTGAAATGGGCTGAGGGGTAAGTGTGAGGTGAGGACAAGGAAGGGCCTGGCTCAGTACAGAACTGGAAGGCATTGCCGCCCAAAGGGGCCCTCATTTTCCCCTCCTCTGCCTGCCAAATCTCACCCTGCCCCCAAGGTGGGCATCAGAGCATTCAGCAGGGACGGTCCCTGCACCAATGGAACTCGGGCCTGGCATCTGACAGAAGGGGGCCCCTCAGCAGTGGGCATCCATCAGCAGTGCCCAAAACAAAGTGTGTAGAATTTGAGGGCAACTCACTCTCAAGAGGGAAGAAGACTGGGGTCACTTAGACCCAGGCTGACAGCTAGACTACTGCTCCCCAGCCTGTTCTGGGGCAAGTCCCCTAACCCTTCAGTGCCTCGGTGTCCCACCAGTAGGGCAAATAGCCTGGTTCCCGTTCTACCACTGGCTACTCCAACTATTGTGATGAGCAAGCTGATAATGCCTGTGATAATGTCCTGGACAGACTGTCTTTTTAGCTGGGACAATGACCGGCAGAGCTAAACGGCCTAGGCGAGATATGCTGAGAATGGAGACCTCAAGCTTGCAGACTAGAGGCCTAGGCAAGAGGAGGCAAGAGCTATCTTAGGATTCTGACCGGGAGGGGAAATGTTAAACAATGTATGTGTGTGTGTGTGTGTGTGTGTGTGTGTGTGTGTGTGTGTAGAAAGAGAGAGGGTGGAGGGGGTGGGATGAGGCGGGACAATGCCCACTATCATAAATAAGCCCATCCTTACCATTTAAGGATGTTCAACATTCTTCTAAGTACCTGACCTATATTATCTCACTTAATTCTCACAATAAACCAGTAAAGTAGTTACTATAATTTCCATTTTACAGATGAGAAAACTGAGGCTCAGAAAGATGAAATGATTTACCCAATAGTTACCCAGCTCGTAAGTATTTTGGGATTTAGCCCAGGTCTACATGACCCGAATGCTGTGCTTCCCAGCAGGTGCTGAACTGCCTGGCCCCTTTATAACTGTCCTCAATTGGCCTATGAGGAAAACCAGGCTCAGGGAGGTGACTGACCCAAAGTCACACAGTCAGTTAATAGAGTCAGGATAAGAATCCAGTCTGTCTGCTTCCAAAGCTCATGTTCCCCGGCACCAGGCCAAGATCTCCCTCTCTAACCCCCTCGAATGACAGCTTCCCCCCAACATCCACAAGTGGACAGGCTCAGAGTGCTGGACCCGGCTACCCCCCTTCCCTGCCCATCAGGGATTCCTGGCAGAGTGGGGTCCTGAGAGAGCTGCGGTGGAAGCCCCTAGCCAGCAGGGAATCACTAGGGGCAGACATGTGCATCCCACGGAGGAATTAGACCTTAACCCAAAGGAATGTGGCTGTGATGACAGAATCTCAGGCGGCTCAGGGTGGGGGTAGGGGTCCCTCACATCTTACCACCCACGAAGAAGGCTGCTTCAGAGACCCCTGGAGAGAGGTGAGCGTCCGCCTTCCCCCTCACCGCAGGTAGGCAGGCTGTCTGGTGCGGTGGGATGGGAAGCCTCACGCCCAGCCGCCCAGCGCAGAGCAGAGGATGGCAGGAGATCTGGATTCAAATCCTAGTCTGCCCTCGACTAACTGTATGTTCCCGCCAAGCGCTGGCCTCTCTGCCCTTGTTTTCCCATCTGTCAAATGGGAACAGGTCTCACCCCTTTGCGGGAAAGATCTGTTGAGTTAGCCGCCTGGGAGACCTCCGGGCGGGTCAGCCCTGGCTCCACGTGTGGGTGGAGGACGGCGGCGGGCGGGGGCCCCCGCCCCGCT